CAAATGTTTGTTCTTCCAGTCCTCGAATATTGCTGTCCTTTCTTCGGTTTAATGAGCGCCTGCGACCGTAATAAAATCGAAAATGTTCAGAGGGTTTTCACTCGGAAACTGTTCTCTCAAGCTTCGTCCAGTATTTCCTATACTCAGAGATGTCAGCTGGCGGACATGAAGTTTTTGTGGGTTAGAAGACTCGAAGCTGGCCTTTGCTTCCTTTTTCTCATCAACTCTAGCTCCAGGCTTCCGCCCATTGACACTATCACTCCGAGAGATCGGTCTTATGCCACGCGCAACTCCTGCATGGTGATTCCGCCGCCTCTTTGTACTACATCTAAGCGCTCCCTCTTCTTTGCTTCCAAATATGCCTTCCTTTGGAATAATCTTCCGCCTGAAATTAGATTATCGCCTAAGTTACTGGTATTCAAGTCGAAATTACGCAACCATCTTACACCGGAAAGCATAAAGGCACTGTTAACGGTTTCATTCCCGAACACTCAGATTCTTGACTTCGAGAAGGGTCCTCCTGGGATTTAGTGGTAGATTAAGTGGTAACTCTTAATTATATCATTAGAAACCCCTGTTTTTAATTTGGTTTCTACATCCACTGCTATCACTCCTCCCCCATAGCGACAATTTTCGCGGTTTTTGATGTAATCTCCCGCATTCCAACCTCATGCGGTCTGTCGATGCTCACGGCGGAACCCTCAGTATTCACTGTCTACTAGTAGTTCGGTCGTACCTCCCTTCCCCACTGCTCGGCTGAGCTCGAAGCGTGCTGTGGCCGATCGCATCTGGGTTCCTCTCGTCTGGCCTCTTTGACGCGGCTTACCAATCCGGCCCAGACGATCTCAATTGTGAATCCCGTATACAATATCATTTGCAAGCCAGTCCTGTCTGACCCACATTCTTACCCATCAAGGCTGACATTTATTGCTACCCTGACGATGACCGACAACATTTCGTTATATACCGCCACCTACAGGCCAGTCCTGCTCGCTTTTTTCTGTTATTTTTTTTAAAGAGGGGTTTTTTCTCCTGTGAAATTAATCCAATCATTTTTAACTTTTTGTAAGGAGTTTTTTTCACCCCTCAGTCGTCATGTTTCTCAATGGACTTCTAATTCAGAAACTATGAATTGCATTTTGTAAAGATTCGGCCTACCTCGTCTAAAACTCGCATGTAAATTTATTTTAACTTGCTTTGATGGGACCCCGACGGGTATTTAATAAAAATTATCTATCTATCTATCTATAATTTCTTCAGAAGACAATCCTGCATTAAGATCATTCTCATTACTGCAGAAATTGTAATCAGAAAGTTAAACATTGACGAAAACGCTATGAGTGTAAATGGAGACCTTAAAAAATAATAGGCTATGATCGCTTACTGACACAAACAGGTGGCTGAGTTTCAGTCAGTCAGTCAGTGCATTTGAGGGAAATAGGCTTACGCCTTTGAACTCCCTATTTGTACATAAAAAATCGATAAATTAGCAGAATGTGAAGAAATAACAGCAGTAAGTGTATGCAGGCATTGATTCACATAAGTCACTGGTCTCATGGGTGAAAAGTCCCATAGTCCGCTTGGTGCTGTAGCATATGTCTGTCAAGCCTGCATTTAAATGTCGCCACAGATTGAGACATGACAACCGTCTCGGGCAGATTATTCGACGGTTCCACGACACAGTTGGAGAAGAAATATTTTCTCACATTTGATCGACCCTGGGGCACACGTATCTTTAAGAGATGTCCCCGGAGGTAAGTTGTTGTGGCGAGATGGAAAAATTCATCGCACCGAAGGGCGCAGTCCAAGCCACGCACGATACGGAAAGTTTGTATCAAGTCTCCGCTCAACTGCCTATAACTCAGAGGATAGAGATTAAGGTTAGTTAAGCGGATCTCGTATGGCAGTGCACTTTGACCTCTTACTAATTTTGTGGCTCGCCTCTGCACCCTTTCGAGCAGATTGTAATCCTGATGTGTCCATGGTCTCCAGGCCTGAATTGCATATTCGAGGTGCGGTCTTACAAACGTGCCGAAGACTTTGGAGAAGCAGTCTTCATCGAAAACTGCGAATGCCCGCTTGATGGCATATTGCATTGAAGTTGCGGCCTTGACCACCTTACAACATTGCGTAGAAGGCTTAAAGCTGCCTGCAACCCAGATTCCGAGATCTTTGCGCGTTTCTGCTTCTCAAAGTGGTATTCCATTCAGATGGTATTGCCGCGTACTAGAGGTCTGATTTCCGAGGCGCGTATGGTACATTTGGTCAAATTGAAGGACAAGAGCCCTCTGCTGGACCACTCGTCCAGTCGACAAAGATTTTCTTGGAAGTTGGTCTCATTGGTGGCATTCTGGATAACTTTCCAGATCTTTATGTCATTCGCAAACATGGCACTATCACAGTCCAACCCATCTACGAAATCATTGATGAACAAGATAAAGAGGTTGGTCCGAGCACCGGGCCTTGTGGGACTCCACTCCCTATGAACGTGCGCCTTGATTTCTGTCTTTCTACGCAGACAATTTGGGAACGGCCGACGAGGAAGTTCTCGATCCATTTGAGAAGTTTGCCGCAGATGCCCATTATTCTCAACTTGTGCGGGAGACGCTGGTGCGGGACACTGTCGAACGCCTTCCGGAAATCAATACAGGCCACGTGCACAGTGTGTTTTGCTTCCAGTGCTCTTGTCCAACTTTGCATTGTATATAGCAAGTTCGTTACACATGATCTTCCCCTACTGAAACCATATTGTACATTGAACAAGAGATTGTGACTTTCCAGATAAGTCATCAACTCCTTTTTGATGATTTTCACCATCACTTTGCAGAAGTTTGATGTCAGACTGACGGGTCTGTAGTTCGTTGCAAGAGCACGACTACCGCTTTTGTAAAGGGACGTAATGTGGGCCGTCTTTCAGTCTATGGGAAGGATTCCAACATCGAACGATTCCTGGCACAGAAAGGATAGTGGTTTGGCCAGCTCTCGGGCAAGCTCGAAAAGCAGCTTTGCTGGGATCTCGTGCGGACCGGGAGATTTATATTCCTTCAAGCTTTTTAGTTCTTTCAAAATCGCTTCTTTGCGAAGCACAATATTTTTGATAGTGGGATCTCCCATGTACTCAGAACTAAATGGAATAAAGTCTGCTTCTCTTGTGAAAACGGATAGGAAAAATTGGCAAAAGTGCTCAGCTTTATTTTTACTGTCCGATATCTACAAACCGTCATCATTCCTCATGATAGGAATTGGATTTCTGTTACGTGTGTTCTTCCGCAAATAGCTGTGGATCAGTTTCGGATTTTTAACGGCTCGATGAAGCAAACTACTCTCAAAATTCCGTAGCCTCTTGAAAATCAGGCTTTTCACTTTATTTCTTTGAACTATATATTCTGTAAACGCTGAAATGTTGTTGTTTTCGCGAAATTTCTTCCACAATCTTCCTTTCTTATTGATCTCCTTTTCTAGTTCTCATGTTAGCCACTGAGGGCAGTTGAATGTCCTAGGCTGTGATACGGGACAGTGGCTCTTCATTAGATGCAATAATCAACCCTTAAATAAATTCCAGTCCTCGTTAACGTTTCCGGAGAAGAGAACATCCCAGTCTATTTGTGATGCCTTAGCTCTCATTTGGTAAAAGTCCCATTTCCATATATTCGGCCTCGTATCCTCTTTTTTATACGGTTCAGAATACAGCTCGTACTCCCATAAAAGTACTGCATGATCACTTCGACCGAGTGGGGTTAGGTAGTACACCTCGTCTATACTGTCAGGATCTTTGGTGAAGAATAGGTCCAGACAACTAGCCTGTTGCCCTCCACGTGCTCTAATTGGAGATAGGACATGTTGCGTGTGAAAAGCTTCTAGGGTTGTCTTTAGTAGACGGTAATCGAAGGCATTCTTCGAGCGCTTCGCATGCATATCGCTCCATTTAACGCAGAGTACATTAAAATCCCCCACGAGAACAACGTCTAGTCGACTGGCGATCTCTTTTATGCTTTCCGGTGGGCACGTGTCTGAGTCGGGATCCGCCTGAGGGGGCCGGTAGATAGTTACGACTTCGAGGGACTGAGATCCCCGTGCCTTTATAGTCAGCCAAATTTTCTCTGTGTCGTTACAAATCTTGTCCGTCCTCTCACACACTGTTAAGTTGCTCTTTACATACATGGCAATTCCTCCATCCCGGCGGCCTCTCGTGTCTCTCCTAAACAATTGGTATCCTGGTAGTGCTACCTCGCAATTACCTACGTTCTCTGACAGCCACGTTCCTGTTATTGCTATATCATCGGGAGGAGTATCGGCTACCTGTATTCTCAGTTCATCAAGCTTGGAACACAGACTCTGAGCATTGGTGTAAAAGAATTTAACTTTGCAACATTCGACAGTACTTCGTTCGGTTTGCCTCGGGCTTGACAATATTATGTTGCTGCCGCCATCATGATGACTGGCTGGTTCCAAAACAACATCGCGTTCCTCTGTATCACTCGTCCCCTGAAAATGGCCAAGTTGCTCTCTCCGGCTGCAAGTCTCCTCTTCAGCTCCGTTACCAATTCGCGGCGTTTCATACGTTCCGCTGGAGAATAGTCCGGTTGAAAAAAAAACTTCCCGGTGTGAGTTTCGGGGGCAGCTTTTCCTAGACAGAAGTAACCTAGCCCCCTCTTTACTGCTCAAAACGATTTTCGGAGGTCGTGGCCGCACAGTTTCCTCTAGATCAGATCACCTCTCGCATATGCATTCGAAACTATACTCCTCCTGTGTAGTAACAGGCTTCCTTGGTGGTCTGTACTAAGGCCGTTGATCTCCATTGACTATAACAGTAACCTAACACAACATGTTTTAGGTAGCCGCTTTCGCTTCGCAGAGGAATGTGGGGCTTCTGCTAACTCCCAAGACAATATTCCTAATCATGAAAGACATATTTAGTTTTTTTGAGCAGGACATCCATCAATTCGGCCTCCCAATTCCTGGCTGACATCCGAGGAAAAGTTGTCCGACCGGAGCAGTTTATGGTGTGCTTTGACGTGGTTTCATTATTCACGTCCATCCCACCGGACCTGGCACGCGACGTTTTTCGCAATCGACTCGAAGAGAATCACGACGAAACGAACAGACCCCTAAAAATCGACAACTTACTGCAACTGTTTGCTTTCTGCCAACAAACCTTCTTCACCTTCAATGGCAGAGCATACGAGCAGATCAAAGGAATGCCGATGGGTTCGCCAATATCCAGCCTGGTTGCAGAACTGGTCCTGCAGGTACTGGAAAAAGTCGCCTTCGACCACTATGAACCTGCATTTTGGCTCCGGTACGTGGACGACACGTTCGTCATAATTGAAAGGAGCAGACTGGCCGACTTCCAAGACCTGCTCAACGGCATCTTCCCAGACATTCAGTTCACAAGGGAAGAAGAGCATGCCGAACAGCTGCCTTTCCTTGACGTTCTCGTCACACGCACACCCAACGGCGAACTCAACACCACGGTGTACAGAAAGGCGACTAACACGACTCAGATTCTCAACTACCACAGTAACCACCCAATGGCGCATAAACGCAACTGTGTAAGGACACTCTTCCAAAGGGCAAAATGCACTGCAGGGAACCCGAGGGACGAGTACGAGAACTTCGGCATCTTCGGGACCAACTGGCAAGGAATGGATACCCGAACAGCTTCGCCAGCCACTGTCTCCGCACGCGCCCACGGCGAACAAACGGAGGAGAGCCGCCAACACTCTGGCACCCTCTACCATATATAAAGAAGTTGTCCGAAGCGATGGAACGTATCGCAGGAGAGCTCGGCGTGGGTATCGCTCACCGTCCGACAGCGACCATGCGCAGCAAAGTCATGCGAGTGAAGGATCGCCTAGACGTGGGTGAACAATCGGGCGTCGTCTATCAGATCCCATGTCGGGACTGCCCTCGCCACTACACAGGACAAACCGGACGACGACTTAGCTCACGAATAACGGAGCACAAACGGGCGGTCCGGAGAGGCGACCCGTTGTCTCAGGTCCCCACTCACACCCTGGAGGAAGGCCACGAATTCAACTTCGCGAGCACACGGATAGTGGCGCGGACTAACAATAAGACAGGACGAGAACTGTTAGAGGCCTGGGTGTCTGACTCCAACTCTATCAACAGGCACGTTGACATACCCCCCTGCTATCACGCGCTCCGTTCCCGCGGCCAAGAGGCGAGACCCAATTTCCAGCCAAGGGTGCACGCAGTCACGCCACCGTGAGACGGCGTGGGACTCAACTTATCGCGAATACCACCCTCCGCAATCATATTTCTCCCCCTCCCCTTCATGGCGTGACTACAAAAACCGCTCATTTGATGTCACATTCTCACAGTCTCCGACGATGGCAGCCTGTACGAGACCGAAAGCTCAGACTAATAAACCTACTGTCGCAGAGATCGGGTCTTCATCTCCTTCACAGATTGTATTAATGGCCGAAGCATCGAATGCGTCGAAAATTCTGCTCCTATGAAGTCCAGAGTTTCATGTTTAAGACCAGCGCCACTCGCACTGTCAGTTCCATGGGCTGAGTATGCTATCATCTTAGGAATCCTGTCATCTATCTATACGGTGCCATGATACCGAAGGATAAATTTTATCGTCAAAACGCAAGTCCAAAGTTTCCTGATGCTAAATGTTTCTAGAAAATCTCATAGGTCAACCGTTGTATGATGTGTACTAGGCTCGATCAGCCACGTGTAAATCGCTACTCTTTGGCGCCTCCTCCATATATCGCATGTGGAAAATATTTTTTAAACAATAAGGAGGCTGGCAAATAAGGCCGCCAAATCCGCTAATAATCTAGAAATTCGGGAAATTTTGAATAGACTCCAATTTCGAAAGATAGAAGGGGGACTATGACGCACAAATTGGCGTAAAGAATGTGGACGTTTCAGAAAGGGGGTTTGACGCCACGCCTACGTAGGTTCTAAAACAATACTACAATACAATTAAATATCTTTCATTCTAGGGTTAATCGGGCTTTTTTACCTCCGAAATAATGGTTTTACGTCTAACAAATATTCGCATAAATGAACACCTTCTTCTTGCTGACTCTTTTAATTTTATAATTATTCGCGTGCATTAACAGAGTGACACTTGCTTTCTCATAGAACTCGTGCACAGGCTTTTGGCTTAACGTGTGCGTACTTCTACTTTGTTTTCCCACATTTGTCTGGCGTCATTGTTAGTTTATCGGTTGTAGTTGCTCCGAGTCAGTCGGTGGCGTGTCGAGGGGCTCGTCCTTCTTTGAGAGGATATAAGAATGAGTTTCTTGGAGAACATGGGCAAATCGAATGATATATTGAGGATAATTAATTGTGTAGGTTATTTCTTTTTTACAAGTTTCCAGTTATCGACGCCGAGGGGCCGTTTACCTTTTAGTGATTCTTCCAACCGTTTGCCTCGCAATTTTTGCGATGCGTCTCCAACCTTGCCGAAAACACCTTCACTGCCACCACAGGTTTCGGAGATTATTGCTTCAAAAACAGCCAACCTTTCGGCACCGGATGAAAATCTCTCTGTTCTTCCTCCCCAGCCACCGCCGGACGTCCGACGACCATTAGACTTATCTAATGGCACCCCACCCCAGACCACCATCCGCGGCGGCAGTTGTTCTTATCGTTCACCATCTCCTAATGTTAGTGACGATTCAGACAATTTCGAAAATCTGCTTGCATCTCTGCGCTCAAATAATCCCCCAAGCAAACTTCGGGCTTCTACTGACGATTCGTCGTTTATTGTTTCCGACACTTCCGGCTCAGGGGACGACTCGAGTGAAGTATTCTACCACCGTGTAAATAACACGGTGTTTAAAGATTTGCAAAAGTACGTTTCCTCGTCTATTTTTTAATGCGACAGCTTAACCATGAGCGCTGATTTGTCTTAAACAGTTAATCCCACTCTATCAGAAACTTCTGTTTCATTGTCATTCCTACCGAACTTGCTAGAAAATATGTCGTTACTTTAAGAGAAAAGACGTCTTCACAATTTTTTATGCCCCCAGAATCTGGCGTCTGCGTTTTCTGAGCCTTTTATCCTCCTCACGCGGTGGATAGATTTTGTTGTATGTGTCCGCGGTGTGTTAAACAAGTACACTGGTTACTTATATTTGATTATTTTTCTACTGATTTCGCCATTGTCGTTTTGCCTTCTGCTTAAGAAAATAATTATTGTGCCGACCCCTGCAAAATTGGTTCGGTGTACGGCTTTATTATTTCCCCGGTTGCTGGGACTTTTTCCGGCCCCTGGTGGCTCTGCGAAGCCTTCGGGATTTAGAATTGTGCTGCTTTTCGTCAGCCCGGTTGCCAGCTCCTTGTTTCTACTCCAGAGGTTATCTGCACTATTCAGAGTAGTTTTTTACTGATCATGAATATCCTCTCTAATTTTTTGGAATGGTTTTTCGCATTTGTTTTTATTTATGAATAACCTGATATTGCAATGAAACTCTCGTACTGGGAGACGGGAGCTTCCCGTTTAATTTTGCCGTTTACACCAACTGACTTTCCTCTCCCGATAGACTTTAAATGCTATCTTTGGTTGCGGAGAAACTTTTCAAGTCGAACAGTCTCAGGTAATATTCTTTGAGAAACTTGGTCCGCAAGCGGCAACTGCATTCGTCTTATAAACGATCAGGCGTACTCCTACTTGCGATGGTTGCGATAATGCCTGATCTAGTCTTAATAATGTCGCGGATGGCTCTTCTTCACTTTCGACGATCAGCGACAACAGACTTAAATGTCTTTGTCCATCCCCTTATGCAACTGAATAAACATCGTATATCCAAGGAACACCCACGTCTTGGCATATGCATGAACTACTCTCTACCCCACTCAAACTTTGGCATCCGACTTGAAGCAACAACGCTGCACTTATGTTTGAGGTATACTCGGAATGTAGTGACTAGCACAACTTATCTTATTCTAAAAAATCGGAGTGCTTCATTCGAGTAATCGCTTTCTGGCAACAGTGGTACAACATTTCTGGTTTGTCCTGTTCTTCTGTCTTCCACGTGCTGGACCTAGAATTTATGTTGTCTGTTGTTTCTGGTGGCCACAGCGGACCGCTGGAATGCGCCACTGCAAATACTTGCTTGGCTTATTCTCACTCAACTAGAACCATTGCTTGCTTGGGTTCCATCCTTGAATCGCGTAAAATTTGAAAATAAGGATAGCAAGGACTTTCACAGCAGCTTCCGTATGACTTATGCCGTGTTGATTCGTTCAATACGTCTTATCTCCCTCCCATCGAGTTCCCTAGCACCACCGGCTTTTGAGATTTACTAAAGGGGACCCAATACATATTTTAGTCTCCTCTGTCTGACTTTAACATCATTTTACGCATTTGTCGGAAATATATCCATTTCTGAATCCAAAGTTAATTGTCTTGGTTGAAAACTTCAGACATCTTGTGCTGATGCAGTCATTACGGAGGTGCTGAATAAGTCGTCGAATTGTCAGCTGCCCACAGGACTGACTACATCAGTAATGTCCAGTTGCTGCGGGACGAGACTGGATTTCCGTATTCAGCATCTTTCTTGTGTTGGGCCGTCGTGACTTTACTGCATTCAGACGTTTGGCCCGACATATTTGGATCGCAAATGAGAGATTAGTTTTCAGGCGCTTATTGACAAAAACATGGTCGAACCCATAGATGATGTCATTTTTGGCACCAGGCGCTAATTTGCTATTAAGAACTCATCCACAGAACCCCGAACTGACTAGGGTATATCCAGTTTGGCTAACAACAGTCATTGGCATACTAGATCGGCAGATGTTTTCGACGATTTTGAAGCCACGCCTTCTTAACAAGCACCTGGTTCTGATCAGCAAAGCACAGCAGTCCTTTATTAATGTTGCGTCTAGAACCAAGTCAAATGTGACCAATTTGTTGGTTGTTTGAAGAGCTCCCTCACCCACTCCGGCTATTCCGTCCAGCTGCAACAATTTGTAGATCCTAGGGAGGAATTTAGTCAAAAGATCCATGTACGCGTGCGTGGACGGTATCTTTGTCATTCTAGTTGGTAGCCGATATTGAGACGTAGGCGGCAATGACGGCACTTTCAACCATACATGTGCTGGCAGGTCATTGACTGGTTGCTGTGCCTGCCCCGAGAGAGCAGTCACCAAACCATGTCTATCAGACAAGTCACATGGAAGGCTGTGATAGAGGATGAAAATTTTTACTTCAGGGATCTCACCTGATTGGAAGAGGAAGTCTGGGATTTCAGACAAACAGCACACGTCCATGTCGTATTGGGGAAGGTTGGCCATACTCGAGCTTCGAGAGAAGAAACGTTCGCAAATATTTGCATTATATGCGAAGAATGCGTTCGCGATTAATTGATCGCAAATGCATGCTATTCACCTGCACTACTGGGCCAGCGCCGCTACGCGCATTGGTTCCCGCACATGCCACACTATGAACCGTAGTGCTGCAATTGGACAGCTTGGACACAGGCGAGTTCGCAAAAATCACTTGAAGTTTGTTTTTTCGAAGTTGTTTTAAACCTTTTGACTCGAGCACTTTCTAGCAAGACGTGGTGCCGAACAGACTTATTTAATTTAGGCTCGCAGTCGCCGTGTCGCACAATGGCATCGTCAACTATGTGACATCTTTAAGGTAGTCGGCACACCACACCTCACTCCGCCACTTCCGAGCAACATTGTACATGCTTGTCCCCGATCTTTTATTTGTCTGATCGTGCTACTTTTTATTGTTAGAACCGTTCCACTGTTT